ATCAAGGCCCTGCCAGATTATACTCCTACCGGGGTCCTCATTATGGCTATCAACGACGATTTCCTATCTGTGCAATATGCCCAGAAGGATCTGAGGGGAGCCAGTAAGCTGCCTCTATCAGCACTACGAATATCGCCGATTCCAACGGCTCAAGATAGGGAATCCCGGCTGGAGAGACCTGCGGTTTCGGCAAGGAACAAAAGAGCAAGAAAAAGAAACACCCTAGCTGCCACGAGGCGCCTGGCTGGCCCTGGCTTTCAATTTGATGTTGACGTTGACGAAAACACCGTACAAAGTACCCCAGAAACGTTGGTGACGGACTACGATCTTGATGACGAAGTTGTACATAAGCCCGCCGAAGAGGAAAACACTCAGGTGAAGAGGCTAGCAGGGTATCTATTAGAAAGTGGCAGAGCCATGAATGTCAGATACAACGTTGTGGATCCCCTAGACGATAAGAAAGAGACGGGGCCTGGTGCCTCCAACAAGAAGCAGTTGCAGATTTCCCGAACAACAAAGAACAGGAAGGAAACCGTCATGGGCATGCTTTCCTTGAAGTACCACTGGTTGGCCAAATGTCAGGAGGACTACAACTCCGATGATATCAAGTACCCAGGCGTGGAGGGAGTCTATAATCCGTTACAAGTCATACGAAACCGGGCCATCCGGGCCAAATACCATGAGCCGGCGCCTCCGCTACGCTTTGCTAATGTTCCTTTGGCGTGCAATGTTTTCAGCTCCCACAAGAAGGCCGGCGGGAAGCCATGGAGGATGTTGTGGGGCATCGAGCTCAATGAGTTGGTCAATGACGAGGCATGGCGATCTCTGCATTGGAAGGAGCTCCGAAACCCAAAAGGCGAGCTCTGGTTCTCCGATTCTCGCCCACCACCACGATCTGTCATTTCATTCGATACTCCCTCGAAGCCACCACGGTCCAGCCGATTGCATGATAAGCTTTGGGGCGATGTCGACACAGAGGACCGCTCAAGTAGCCGGTCCAAGTCTCCATCTACCAAAAGCATCCGAAAAAATATCAGGGACAAAGCCAAGCGACTTTATGGTAACGCCAACAGTGCCGGCAACTCTAATTCTGATGTTGACTCTTCGAGTAACGAGCCGGCCAAGTCCACTGAAAGTTTTCTGAAACTAAAACAGAGTAGCAAATCTGATAGCGATTCCAATATCGGGCATATTTTCCAAATCCCTCGAAATCTTGAAAGCTCGGGCTCATCCGAAGCTCAGAGATCACAGCCTGAACTACCCAAAATCAAGATCGACACCAATGCGGTTTCAAAAGATGACATCAGCTCAAAGCATGAAACTCTGCATCTCGAAGAAACCAACGGCAATAGATCCAAGATGAACCTTGACGATGTTCAAATCACTCCGCTACATGCCAGGTCGCATCTGAGCAGCGCTCACATTGTTACTAGCACTGAATCTTCAAAATCTCCCGAAGTTGACTCCAAAGAACTCAAATTCATGGACGCATCTGCTCATGGACGTTCGTTAGAGCTGCAATTGGTACTCAGCGAAAGCTTCATGACCTCCGTGTTTCCGCGTCTCGTCGATACAACGTCCATGAAGCTAAATCACATTCTTAACAAGGACATAAATGTCCTTCTTCACGATATTGTTCTGGTCAATGACAGTCAACTTCCAGCACACGAAGCATTCTACACTGGCTTCTTAAGTGAGTGTAAGTCCCTCATGCATGTCATCAATGACGAATACGCTGTGAAAATCGACCACCTTCTTAGTGCAACTGATCGTTCCATTGGTGAAATAAACACCTCTCTATCACTTGACATGAAGAAGGTCAACGAAAACCTCGATAGGGTGAACCAATCCCTTTTCGGAAGCATCGTTACCACGTCTGTTAGTGATCGTGATGTAACTTTCACTGACGGCGGTAACTACAAAATCCTCTATTTCGTGTTAGAGAACGCTATTGTGGTCTTGTTGAGAGTGACTTGGTTTGTGGTGAACATTTACAAGTTTATCCTTGCCATTCTCAAAATTATTTGGAAGCTCACCTCCTTACTATTCGGCATTTAATTAAATACGTTCAGAAATAACTGCCTCTGAACACCTAATAATCTCACTAATTTTCAATCTCGTAGTGTGCGTAGTGGGTGCAACTCTTGATATTCGCGGCTCTAGATACTCCAACTTTCATCTCAGCGATGCAACAAAAATCGGTGTCCCTTCTAAGTATGTCGAAAAAGCAGTCTCCAAAAGTCTTTTTACTAACCTACAGAAAAGATTGACACCAATATATATCAGATTCTTGAAAACTTTCAAGAAGTCTTCGATAAGGCAATCATTCAAAACAAGTCAAGAGAACTGTTAGCAGTCGAGAACTTGACACTCGAGTCAGACGCACACAATATCATCCGTCTATGCAAGGATTTACTCTCAATTACTAGAGGCCTACGAGAAACTTGGTGCCTAGACACCATGAAGGTGAGACCTGAAGGTGAAGATCACAAGGCTAGTGAGGAGGACGTACAGAGGGTATTTGAAGAGTTCAACAAGTTGACCGAGAAGATTTCTGCACTTGAGAGAAGCTAACGTTAAATTCGTTCATTCGTTATGTATGATTAAAATTTGGGTCCCTTAAGCGGACTTCCAGGCCGAGTACTGTTTCTGGTTGAAGACTCGCTGCCGGGTCCTTGTTCTTCAAACAAGTTCACAAACTTCTGAACCTTGCCAACTTTGATAAACTTGAACTTCTTGTCACGTCTGATGTATGTTGGCACGGTCGGAGATTTGTCTCGGAAGGCGTATTCCAAGCCGTGGCTTTCATCGTGACTTACCATTGTGAAGGAGGACGCCGAGCTTTTCTTCTTAAGGGTTGGCTGAAGAGTCGACATTGACGTGTGTTTCATTAAAGAAGGTGCAGCTGGGGGTTTGATTGGTGATAAGTCGGTCGGCACCGATGCAGACCTGGGACTGTCAAAATCATGCTCCACAGTCAGTTCAGGAGGCGATTGAAGTACATTTGGGCGCCTGGTAGGTGTCCTTGGTTGAGGCTCCAACAAAATCTTTCTAGGAGAAAGAAATTCGGGATTCTTCTGAGGAGTAGACGGCTGAATAGTTTGAGATGAAAGTGGTGGTGATTCTTCTCTCAACGTAGGCAACTCGCCAAGCAATGCCGGAGACAATACATTTGTGGGTTGTCCATCAGAGAAATGCAAGTCCTCTTCGTCGTCCACCGTACATCTTCCACTGTCATCAGAATATAGAATCTTCAACTCCTCGTCAGACGTAGAGACGTCTTGGAAATCCTCAAACACTAGCTGTTTTTCTATGAGCGGCATACCAGTGTTGGAATCTAGCGTAAGATCAGCAAGACTGCTATCGAATTCTTCGACCTGGTTGTGTAAGTCCTTCATCAGTGGCAACGAGTCATTGACCGGCAGATCTTGAAGGATAGTATTGGTATCGGCAATATCCGACGTAATATTTGAGTTGCTCCGTAGCTCTAGTAGTAGTCTTTGGCGAATATATGTCTTGATGGATTTCAATAAGTCCATATCTCGTAGTATGGATCCGTGGAGTTCGTCATGACGGAGAATGATGATCATGTCATTTACATTGGCCAAGTCAACGACCAAGCGTTTGAGCGAGACTCTCAAAGTCACCACAAAAACCTCAGACGGGCTAGACATCTCAAAGACACTTTTCCAAATGCCTTTGAAGCCCAAAAAGGGTTTCGGCGTATTCTGTGAGCTCTTCTTCTTCGCAACGAAGACCAAGTTCTTGCGCACCAAGTCCGAGGGAGTAAGATAACGATTTCGTAAAAGCAAAGTGTTGAGCTCTAGGATCACATCGAGTTCACCGATGTCCTTGGCCAAATCCACAAGCCTGCTCGTGGATCCACCTAAGAATAGTCGCTTTTCAGAGACACAGTCCGCTATTTTCTGCGGAATGTTGGACGAGAAAATCACCCGAGGCTTGACTGGATCTACCGATGAAGTCGCCTGCGGGGAACCACTGGTAAACGGAGGGTCCAAGCCCATGGTAATGTGGTGTAGTTAGGTGCTTGCTTAAGTGCTGTGATTGATAATGGGATCTCGCGGAAACAAAAACAGAGGCTCACTTTATGTAGGAGCTGATTTTGACAGGCCGGATCAAGGCAAAAACTTCGGAAAGTATCTTGGATGAATCGAATATAACAACTGTGGTGATTGATTTTTTGTGGAAGAAGTTGTAATAAGTTTATATTAAGTTTTTGACACTATGGGTTTTTGGGTTTTTGGTTGCATTGTGTCGTAGATTTTGGCTGCAACGAAAGCCGCGCTGGATCGATTAGGAAACATAAATACACCGAGAGTGGGTCACATAAGCATTTTCCGAAAAAGGATTGAAGCTCCGCCTGACGACGGATGGCATGACATAACGTATTGTGCAAACAGTCAATGGATACTTTCGTTTTAAGGACCATTCACTGTATAGAAATCCACTACATGGCACAGCAAAGTGATTTATTAAAGAGAATCTGTGATTTCTGGCTCTAGTTTCTACGGGATTAACAGGCCAATGGCCAGAATTCTTCAAGACGTAGCGGGTAGTGTTTAGCAGAACTTGGAAGGAGTTTATGAGGATGGCATGAGAGTTTGTGAGGAACATCTACCAGTCAATGCCGTCTGTATAATTCAAAGCTGGACACATTCTAGCAAGGTTACATTGATCCCTGCTTTTCGATCAAAACATCATTCATGGACTGTGTCTGCCAACTAAATCGCACAGCCATACCCTTCTTTCACACATACTCTGACCCCGTAGCTTGGAGAAATTGTCAAATTATGAGAATATTCATCTCCTTTTCATGTTTGAAAGTAATTTTCATTCATGTAATTTTTGCAACAATCACCATAGTCCACTACTGGCACATGTTCTGGATTTGCAACCATGATGCGTCCTACGTAGTACCGATCGCACTATCAACACCTATCCAGCTATAAGTACCAACTCAGTCCTTTTGAAAATCCCGCATGTCCTCATATTATTTCACGGTCATTGGCACACGTGATAACCCGCTCTATGAGCTAGAGTTCTCCTCGTTCAAAACTTCGTCATCGAGTTCAGGCTACCCTGGTCAATCAAACTTTTCCAGCAGGATCAAAGAGCTTTTACCATTCATTACCAACGCATCGCTAGATCTCATTGAGGATGCTCAGTGGTCGACCAATGCTTTCAACCTCGGCAAAGTCGATTCTTTTTACGGAATTCGTGTCAATGGATTCGTCACTCAAGGTAATATCAAATTCGTGCTATGCTACGACTCCAACGCTCCTGGTTCCAGCAGTCTAGAATCCATGATGTCGTCCAACCTGACATCAAGCAAGCACGATGAAAATGTCATAAAACAGTTCTTTGCGGAGGCCTACGACTTGTACGTGCAGACGCTACTAAATCCATTCTACCTGGTCAATGATCCGATTGTCTCACCCGACTTCGACTGCCGTTTGAAACTTTTGGCAAGAAAATACTTGTAACGTTAACTATATACTTATTCAGGCTTAGGCTCGTCCTTCAAGGCTGCCTCTGTTTGGACAGAATAGTCGCCGTTCTCGTCCTGAACGATGATACCCTCCCTCTTCAAAGCATCGAACATGTCTTGAGGCACCCATCCACCAGTTGCGGCGAAAGGTGTGGAAACAACGTCAACTTGGTAGTTCTCCAAATCAGTGGCGTGCTTGTCCAAGTATTCGGTACTGTAATCAACAGGGAACTCACTCTCCTTAGTGTTAGATAACTGGTTAGCAACATAGGTGTCCCACATAGCTCTCAATTGAATGATAGCATTCTCAACAAACAAGTAGTCTTTGTCGTTCTTGCAGTCCAAGGCGTGCAAATATGGAGCCTTCAAAAGCTTGAGGTGTGGAGAAGCGACAGCGATCAAGTCATGTCTTCTGTCGTTCAAGGCGTGCTCCCAGATTCTTTCGTTTCTGGTCTTGTGGTACATGAATTCGTATTGCAGCTTCTCGACCTCGTCCATCTCATTGTACTTGGGCACGTCTTCTTCCAAGTTGAAGATCTTGGCACCCTGATAAGCCACAAATGAAGGGTAGCTGGAGAAGATAAATGGCTTGATAGAAGTGTTCTCAAAATCAAGGAAGTACAACTTGCCGGTGTCTTTTTCCGTGATGATGTTCAAGGGGTCCAAGTCTGGAGCATAGAGTCTTGGAGCAAACAATTCTGCACAGTTCATGATGGCTGGAGATGTTGGGTTGATCAACTTATCACTGATGGCCTTCAAGTTCTCGAAAGTGTGTATTTGCTTCTTCAAGTCCTCAATGTTCTCCACCTTGCTTCCAGCATCAGCTTGGGCCAAACCAAGTCTTGCCTTCAAACTCTCCAATTGAATGTTGGCAACTGACTTCACCACCTCAAGTGGCTGATCTTTCTCGAAAGGACCAGTCAATTCGGTGATCTTTTGAGCGGCCAAGTGCTTCTTGTTCTTGGAGTAAACACCCTCAACCAATGGACCAATTCTCCATCTGTTCTTGAATTTGATCTCAGTCTCACCATCGTATGGCTCAGTGCCCTGGTGTTGAGGCTTGACATCATCAAAGAAGTAAAGAGATCCGATCTTGTTGAAAGGAGTCTCCAAAAGCTTGGCCTGGAAGTCGGCAATTGGGTCGATGACCGCTTTCAAATGAGAATTGTCCTCGGTGTCCTTGGACAATGGGTCCCATTGCTTCATCAAAAGATCACCTTCGATGTGCTCCATCAAGATGAAAGGAGACAGCAAAGAGTTGCTTCTGGTAGCACCGTAAGCCAACACTTTTGGAACGCTCAAGCCCAATTTCTCGGCCAAAAAGTCCATAGTAGCCACCTCACTCTTGATTTTGTTCTCGATGGCAAAGTCGGACTCGAGCTTGTATGGAATTCTCAACACAAGAGCCTTGTCGTTCTTGAGGGACAACTTGTACACTCTGTGGTGTCTGCCCTCGTGGATACTGGCAATTGACTTAACTTCAATGTCTCCTTCGCCCAAGATCTCCTTGGTGATGTTGTGGGGTAAAAGGGTGGCTCCAGTAGGCAGAACCTTGGGGATGGCCAATTCACCATCAGTGAGCTCCAACTTCTTCACAAAGTCAGTGGCTCCTTCAATGGAGAATCTGGTTTCTCTTCTGGCTCTCTCAACCTTGTCATTTTTCAACCAAGAACCCCAACTGTATTGGAAGAATTGGCTTCTTTGAGGATCCTTCGCATCATTGATCTTGGTGAAGACCTCCTTGGGTTCCTCGGAAAGAAATCTTTTGGCAATCGTGTTGACGGCGGTTTTTCTGACCGATGGAATGAGCTGAGTAGTCCTTCTGGACCCAATTCTGGCAGCACTTCTCAACATATTGGTGGGTATAAGGGATACGGAGAAGTTGGTTGCACTGAATGCAAACTTTGCACCCATAGTGCGCCGGCGCTTAATACGCAAGCATGGATGTACAATCCATCTACACATGCTAAACTATTCACAAGTTATCATTTATTAATCGTTTCGTGTCGTCATAAAGTCATGACCTTGGCTGGTCGGGATTGAGCAACATAATTTTTTCCTTCAATGTCACTGGAGGGAGGCCCAACGAGTCGTACTCGTTAAGCTGCTTGTTGCCTGACTCTCCATTTGTCTGGGAAGCTACACTCAAATCTTCATCGCCAAGCAGTGCTTCAAAAGTGGTTGGCGTTGTCTGCTTGAGTGTGGTTGGGTTGGTAGGGTTACTGAGAGGCGGCTGGGGTTGGGCAAAGCTCTGCTGGTTTTCTTGTTGTCGGTCCTGCTGATGAGCCTGCTGTTGTTGGGCCTGTTGCTGTTGTTGCTGTTGCAGAAGCATGTTGGCAATCACGCTTGAGAAGTAAGGTGTGGGGCCATGGCGATGTAGCTTCTTCCCTTCGACGCCATCTTTGGTTGCTGTTGTGGAAAGGCACGAGGTGGTGGAGTTACGGGAAAGAGGCCTGGAAAGACTCTCGCTAAGAAGCAATCCGTTCTGACTGGCATCGCTATTGTAGGTGGCAGGATCGTTCGGGATAGGAGCTTGGTAGTCGCTACCGCTTGAAGCCAAGGAGATGTTGGTCGACAGATTCTGTGGGTCGTACACCTCTCCCTTCTGCATCATCATGAGTCTTAAGTTCCTAGAACTGACGCTATAGTTATCACCATCGCTAGGAGCACTAGTGCTGATCATAGGAGTCGGATTTCTGAGCTGGTTGGGTGTGTCGTGATACGAGGATTCTGAATTGAGCTCATCATCAGAAAAATAGCTCTTGGGCTTGGAGAAGTCTGCGGTGGAATCTTGGCCGTCATTTTGTTGACCGTCTCTAAATGAAGCATTGTTATCACTCACATCCTCAAAGCCGGAATCGGTCAAGTTGACCTTCCCGCTGAAGATGGACTTGATGCTCGCAGCAGGATGGGACATTCTGATAGTTGCGGCGCTTATTTCAGCAGTAGTTGTTACAGGATGAACGTTGGGGTAAGTCACTGAAGCAGGCCGATTTTATGGCCTGTACCAGCCATAGATAGTATGCATGACCTGGATCGTGCGAAATGAAACCGGGGTAAAGCTGCGACATGGAGAGACCCCCGTTGCCTGATCTCATAGATAATCGTACAATACAACGGAATAGAAAGCCGCAACCATCAGGTTGTGAATAAGGGCAAGCGAGTAGTCCGTTTTAAATTACGCAGTGGTTATTTAAAAATTTTATAGATCGGATTTTCATTTCAGGGTTTGCCTGTTTCGTCAGGAACGGCTGCGAAACGGAAAAAGCATTTGTCGCAAAATTAGGTTGCTTCGAATAAAGTACGTTTTGACACAGATTTGCGAGACTCCCATAATTAAGAAACGGAGTTCTACGGAGCATATCCAAGTCATTTGGGATGTTTTCGTTTGTTTTTTTCTCTTTTATGCTTCTAAGATACTGGAAGTACAGCGCTTCAGTGCGAGGTGAGTAAGGCCACGGAATAGGTGCAAGAGGAGCTAAACATATCTTCTGAGTCTGATGGACCACCCTGCGAGCTTTCTAAGATGAGTTGATCGGTCCTCTGTTGTGGTCTAAGCTACGTGGCTTTGCACAATGTAAAAAGCCAACTGTGGCTCATTCCTGGCGAGGCCCATCCTTCTCTTATAGCACTTTTTTAGCTTTTTATTTCATACCAAAAGCAGTACAATGCTTGGTTTTAAATGACTGAGCCGATTAGCAGTAGTTAAGGGGCGCATTCGTGGTTGGCTAAATGTGGCCCTTATCAGCTAATGCGCACTGACATCGGATCAATACAATTTGCTGCAATTTTCACTCCATGGCCTTGTATAGACGAATTGCCATAATTGGAGGAGGCCCAGCCGGGCTTGCAGCAGCAAAAGCATTAGCATTGGAACCTTACAATTTCACCATTGACTTGTACGAGAGAAGAGACAACATCGGTGGCTTGTGGTACTATGGTGGTGACAAGACCAAGGTCTTGCCTTCGGTTCCGTCAGTGGGACCTGATGCCCACGAAATCTTGGATCCTAACGGCGGATTTGAAAACAGGTTTTTCTCGCCGATGTACGATCAGCTTGAGACAAACATAGTCAGTCGGTTGATGAAATACAACCGCGTTAGTGGAGCTCACTTCACCACTGATATCAAGGAATACCCGGGTCGGAGCCAGGTGCTCGACTACATCCATGAGTACAAAGAGACAATTCCGCAAGTTGCCAACTTTCATTACAACAAAAACATAAAGAAGATAGTGAAGAACGAGGACGAGTGGTCAGTGACTGTCGAGGATTCAATCTCTTTGGAGCAAGAGACCAAGACGTTCGACGCTGTAATTATTGCCAATGGTCACTTTGAAATCCCTTTCATCCCAGATACTCCAGGTCTAGCGGATTGGGCCAAAAGGGACCCTCATTCTGTCATTCACGCCAAGTACTTCAAAGATGGTGCCCCATTTAGAGACAGAAATGTTATTGTCGTTGGCGCCCTCACAAGCGGTATCGATCTTTCTACTCAAATAAGCACTGTGGCTAAGAATACCTATGTGAGTGTTAAAGATGACCCCAAGGATCACGACAACAAGAACGAGGCAGTGACTATGCTACCACTCATCACGCTGTATGACTATGCCACGAAGACTGCGAAATTGGTAGATGGGCGAGAGATAAGTGACATTGATGATATCGTTTTCTGCACGGGATACCTTTACTCCTACCCGTTCCTTAAGGACTACTTGCCACATGTGACCGATGGTCTCCAGGTGAAAGATATCTACCTCCAGCTTTTCCGTGTTGACGATCCTTCGATCGCCTTCATTGCCCTTCCCAAGGACGTTGTACCTATGCCATTGTCTGAAGCTCAAATGGCTGTAGTTGCAAGAGTTTACAGTGGTCGCTTACATCTTCCTGATGAACAGAAGAGGAGAGAGGCGTACGAGAAAGAGTTGTCTGCAAAAGGAGCCGGAAAGCAATTTCACTCGCTTAAGACACCAAAAGACGTTGAATATTGCAAACTGCTTTACAATTGGATCCAAGAGGAGGGTCTCCTTGACAAAGGATTAGTGCCGTCTTCATGGGGTGAGCAGAGACTGGAGGATAGAAAGAACACAAAAGCTGACAAGGAAGCAAGGCTAGAAGTGATTCTCGAGCATGCTGCAAAACTTAGAAAAGAACACCTTGTGTTCAAGTTGCCCGAACGTGAAAATGAACGGTGAACCCCGTGAATCCGCGGTTGTGTAATCAAGTACAGCCACAGCAGTTTGAGCACGAAGACTGAGGAACCAAAAATGATGGATTCGCATGACAAAAGAGTCAGCAAAACCCCGCCACAAATAGAAACTATAGAAGAAGAATTAGTAGACTGATATGTCACCATAGCTTGGAACGTCTTGGCCTCGGTGGTAGACACCCGTACACCCTAAATCCGACACCTTTTATAATTCAATACCCTTATCGCATCGATCGTACAACTAAGTCATAAGACATGTGGTTATTTAGCTGGGGTATGTACCTTCAAATTCGTGTCCCTCTGTCACCTATTACTCCAAATTGCTGATGAGGAGCTGCAACTGCTGCTTCGTCGATGTGGAAACAGATCTCATGGGACATGTGTGAAAAACAACGAGAACTAACATGACAGTCCAGGACGTTTTGTCCTCTTTAGGATTATGGAACAAGCACGCCAAGTTGTTGTTTTTGGGCTTGGACAATGCCGGAAAGACAACTTTGTTGCACATGTTGAAGAACGATAGATTGGCTACTTTGCAGCCCACTTTGCACCCAACTTCTGAGGAGTTGGCTATTGGTAACGTTAGATTCACTACTTTCGACTTGGGTGGTCACCAGCAGGCCCGTCGTTTGTGGAAGGACTACTTCCCAGAGGTGAACGGTATTGTCTTCTTGGTCGATGCTGCTGACCCAGAGAGATTGGCTGAGTCCAGAGCTGAGTTGGAGTCCTTGTTCAAGATCGAGGAATTGAACAATGTTCCTTTCTTGATCTTGGGTAACAAGATCGACGCCAGCGACGCTGTCAACGAGTCCGAGTTGAAGACTGCCTTGGGCTTGTATGGTACTACCGGCAAGGATGTCGGCAAGTTGGCTGAGAACGTCAGACCCATTGAGGTTTTCATGGTCTCCGTCGTTATGAGAATGGGCTACGGTGAGGGCTTCAAGTGGTTGTCCCAGTACATTTAGATCCACGTCACCCTGTGAAAGCCCTTTCTTGGACGATCCAACTATATCACATTTTATAGCTCTTTGATGTGTTTAGGTTCGGCTTTTCATCAAGAATGTGTCAAATGCATATAATTGAAAATGGTAAATGTGTAGATTTGGTAGACTGATACTTCGCACCCGTACATCCCTACTTGCAGCCATAATGAGGAAGCCCTCATCGCTCCGTTAATAAGCGATCTCCTTTTGAAACTCACTCATAATGGATGGAAACAAGGTATCTTTGCATCCAGAGCCAAAAAAGTGGAAGGTGCCAAAAGGCCCAAAGCCTATTCACCACAAGAATAAGAATCTCATTGGTCTCGGAAGAACCATTGCTAATCAGAGAAAGCAAGAGAATGCAATCGAGTTCTTGCCAGACGGTGAGATGAGATTCACCACAGACAAGAAGGAAGCTGGCTGGGTTAAAATGAGATCTGTCACCCAAGAGAACTCCTTGGACGAGTTCTTAAATACCGCAGAGTTGGCAGACCTGGACTTCACAGCTGAAAGAAACTCTCAAGTCAAGATTATCAAAGTTGGTAACACAGCATTGGTGAACCAGTCTGGTTTGCTTTCACAAGAGGAGACTGACGAGATTCGTAAGAAGCACCAGCTCTTCGAGAACAAGTTGATCATCCCAAGGAGACCCAAGTGGACTAAGGAGCAGCTGAGGATTCAGATCGAAAGACAAGAGAATCTTGCATTCTTGGACTGGAGACGTGAGTTGGCTACTTTATCAGAAAAGCATGACTTATTATTGACACCTTTTGAGAGAAATATTGAGGTCTGGAGACAATTGTGGAGAGTCGTAGAGAGATGTGACTTGATCGTGCAAATTGTGGATGCCAGAAGTCCTTTGTTCTTCAGATCAGTGGATCTTGAAAGCTATGTTGAGTCGTTGAACAAACCAGAGGAGAACAGAGAAAAAAGAAACTTGCTTTTGATCAACAAGGCCGATTTGCTTACGAGACACCAAAGAAAAGAATGGGCTAACTATCTTAACGAAAGAGGAATCAAGTATGTTTTCTTCTCTGCCGCAAACGCGAATGCTCTTTTGGAGAAGGAAGAAGAAGAGGCAGAACAACGTAAAAACGACCCTAACTTTGTCTCGGAGGCTGGTCTTGACGATAGTGAGGGTGAAGAAACTGACGAGGATATCAAGATTCTTAAAGTGGAAGAATTGGAAGACCTTTTCCTTTCTGCCGCTCCAACCTTCGAACAGACTGAAGAATTCCCTGACCGTAAATTGCAGATTGGTCTCGTTGGTTACCCCAACGTCGGTAAGTCTTCCACTATCAATGCTTTAGTCGGTTCCAAGAAAGTGTCTGTTTCCGCAACTCCAGGTAAGACAAAGCATTTCCAGACCATCGTATTGTCACCAGACGTTGTTCTTTGTGATTGTCCAGGTTTGGTGTTCCCTAACTTTGCATATTCAAATGGTGAGTTGGTGTGTAATGGTGTTCTTCCTATCGATCAGTTGAGAGAGCACATCCCTCCAGTCTCCTTGGTGTGTCAAAGAATTCCCAAGTTTTTCCTCGAGGCGGTTTATGGTATTCACATCCCTATTCAAAGTAAAGCTGATGGAGGTAACGGTGTATACCCAACTGCCCGTGAACTTTTGAATGCTTATGCAAGAGCCAGAGGATACATGACTCAAGGTTTTGGTAGTGCAGATGAATCCAGAGCTTCCAGATACATCCTTAAGGATTACGTGAACGGAAAGCTTCTTCATATCAACCCACCTCCCAAGAAGCTTGAAGATGGCTTGTGGGACAACAGAAGTGTTGATGAGTCCAGAGAGTTCAACAAAGAAATCTACACAGTTCACAGTTTACCAGAGACAAGACAGGAGCAGATCAAGGCTGCTTTGTTGCACAAGAACATGAAATTTGATGAGTTCGACCTTGCCAATGACCTTGCCAAGCTTAATTTCTCGATGCATGTTGGCAGCGATAACAATCAGAAGGCCAATGGCGAGTCGCAGGGTGAAGCTACAACCCGCTTCTACGGTGGAAGACAAGCTGCGTTGGAAAGTGCTGCCGATGACTTGGACAGAGAGTTCTTTCAAATGAACAACGTCCAGGCCAAGTTGGATTCCCCATTCCACAAAAACGGTGGATTGTCAGGTAACAAGAAGCACAACAAGAAGAACAAGAAGGCGGATAAGAAGAAAAGAGTGGTGGGATATTAGACGAAGGTGATTCCAAACATTTTTGCATTCGATTTGCACAAGTTGCTTAATGAACTTCACGACGGTGTAACATAGCCCTCTAAATTTATTAATAATACATTCGTGGGTGACTCCTTAAGAAGTAAAAGATATGGTACATCATTAGATGTGGCTGTTGTCGTAGATCTTCTCAGCACGAGATTGAATATCACGTAACCTTTGCTCCTTCCAGTCTTCATTTACGTCACTGATGACTGTAGAATTTGCAAGACTATGCGTGCTCAATCTGTGGTTTGTGCTTTCTTTAGCGATTTCCCTTGCATCGCCTGATAACTGCTTCTCCTTGTAAACACTATTATTTTCCTTGTCCTCAGCGTTAAACTCCGTCTCCCTTATGGGCGAGATATCGGCTTTGCTGTTTGTATTTTTGTCTTTCAAAGGAGAGACTCGAGAACACATAGAATATAGCGTACTTTCAGATGGACTAAAGTTCATCGAAATCGACAGCTCTGGGTTCAAAGGAGAATGCAACGGTTGTAACTGAGGCCGAGTCATGACATGCGAGTTTGGTGCATTCCTAAATGCCTTCGGAGAACTTTCAAACAGTGAAGTAGCTGCCAAACCATTCCTAGCCTCCTTCAATACCCTCGTATCATGACGCAGTGCAATACTTGATTTGCTTTCATTAAGTGTTGGAGACTTTAAAGAGCGCACCGAATTGATGGCAGGAGAGACTCTGCGTTGCAGAGTTTCCTTCCCCACCTTGATCGGTGATCTGAGTCTGCCACCTTTGCTTGACCCATTAAGCGTGTTGACAGGTTCAGGTCTCTTTGGAGATACTGATGACTTTCGAGGAGAGACACCACGAGTAAATTTCGGACGTCTCTGATTGCATGACTGGGACTCTATCGTGAGCACTTTCTCGTAAAGATCTTGCCCATTGATGGAGAAAGGCTTTTTCTCGCAAGAAATCATTGTTTTGTTGAACTGAATGACTTCCTCTTTCAATGCCTTGATCACGCGTGGTAGATTTCTGTGGATCGTCTTTCGTATTCTCTCCTCTTTCATAAGTATCTTGCATGAATCTTTTTGAAGAAGACGAGACGAATCCTTGGATGACTCTTCCAAAAACTTCTGATCCTCGAGATATTCATTGAGTTCTTTGTAGAGTTCCAAGATTGTTTTCTTAGACTCGTATTCTTCTCTAAGCCTGTTGAGTTCAGCTTCGTGAAGGTTGAGAATTTGCTCCTTGTCATCCGAATCATCATCAGCGTTATAGTCGAAGTAATCGAATGCTTGCCTTTGAGAATCCGAATACAACAACAATGACTGATATTCCGCAATCTCTTTCTGTGCATCAACAATGAAGCTTCCAATAAATTCAGACCGTTTCATGTAAAGACGGTTGAGCTCCATCTTGAGGTTCACCAAGGAAGTTTCACTTAGAGAAGAATTCTCTTGTTGGAAATGTGATATAAACTGAGGCGACTCGCATAGCTTATCCCAAAGTCGCTGACAAGCTGACATATAGTAATTCCACTTCTTCTGTTTTGAATCCCGCAAATGTGTCAAGGTATGCGTAAGTTTTTGGAGATAGAGTAGTTTGGATCTCTCCAAGCCAAATGCAAGAATGTCTCCCTCGATCAATTTCAAGGCTTCTGAGTCAAAGGGACCTTCTTTGGCGTACTCTTCCCCTTTGGCCTGTATCACACGTTGCTGAATTTTGATCAAGTCAGAATCACTGAGCAGCAAGATAACAACGATATCAAGACACTGGTTTACAAAGTCTTTCATTTCAACGGCTCTGTTCGCAACTTCCGTCTTACTCTGCTCGACTTCAGCCGTGAGGTCCAGAATTAATTGCGAGTTCAACTTGATGATCTTCAAACCTCGTAACGCCGTGATGAGCTTTCCGTTGATCTCTCGAAGGTGACCCATAGTTTCGTCCGGAGAAGACTGAGAGATACCAGAAATATCAGCCACATCTTCCTTAGCTCTCGTGAGATCACGGATCTTGGCCTTCTTCGGGCTCAGAATGACAAACGCATTGTCATCATCGTGTGCATTGCCCATGCTGGTGAAGGGCGTTTTGGATACCTTTTCCGTGAGACGCAATTGCTTCACGGTGGATTCGAAATCCTCAGTGAGTTTCAAGTATTCTTCAGCTTCACTTTTATTTGGGAGCTGACTAGTTAGACTATTCGTCTTGGAAGCTTCAGCACCGATGATATCAACATTCTCCCAGTAGCGATAGCTCAAGTCGGCAAACTTGCGGAATATCTTAACAAACGCTTTGAGAACATCTAGAAAAATGTTATTTAGCAGCAGCTTGGTTTGTAGTAACAGTAGTTGTGGTATCGTTTTAGTCATATAGTCATATTGTTGTTGCATAGAATAATCGCTCTCGCCAATCTCCTCAGCATCACCGAAGGTAGGATCGTGAAATGATGGTTGATTGTAGTGATGGAACGAGTGGACTTGCTCCTTTACATCCTCACGATACCCTGTAGCGTACATGACATCGTCTTCGAAAACGATTCCTCGACTGCTCAACTTCAAGGTTCTCTCTCCATGGCTGTCGTTGAGTGTGGCAAGCATGAATCTGATTTGCTGCCGGAGCCACTCACATTCATTCTGTAACAGGTTCTTTTCTCGAAGAGCATTGCTGCTTATGGATTTGATGGTATCGTCAATAGTCAAAAACACATCGGCCTGCCTCTGGTTGATCTCACGATTGGAGTACCCGATTTCACTGTACACTTCACCTAATTCCAGTAGAGTTCGATTGACATGGGCAACAATCGATTCGAACCTCTTCTTCGAGTCTAGGTGATCTAGCATTTCGGATGGTGTGTTTTCGCCATGATGTAGTATGTCTTGACTTGGTCGAGGGGGAGGAGTTCGCAAGCAGTATTCATCTGACATGTTTAATCGTTCCGGTGATGAGGGTATTATTGCATTATTATTTGGTGTGCCTGTGTCGTCCACCATGATGTCGGTTCTACCAAGTTTTTGATTTAAGATGTTGCAAGTCTATGATATACATCAGATAGGAAAACAGATGGCAGTTGTTTGCAAATTGCCCAAAGGGGCACAGATGTAAACAATGCGCACGAACGTCAGAGTGAGGAATTCAAGATGTTTCTAATCACTTCGCACCTATGATTGCGCTCAATTCTTCGAGAAGGTCGTGGGAACGTTGGTCATCTCCTTTGATGCCCAAAGCCTCGAGATGATCACCTCTCATGTTCGCAAGTTCCCGGCGTATCTTTTGGTTTCTATGATTAATCGTTCTTCTGTAGAGGGAACCCTTGATGTTCCAACCACATTCCTCAGCTATAGAGACTAGCCTGTCGCCCGCTGTGGATTTAGCTTTTACACCGTCCTTCACCATCATGTTGTACCATGCCTCAGCTCTTTGTCGGTCACCTCGAACATAGTGGTACATGATGAACGGGTAGAGCTGATTGAAGGTTGAGGGTATTTTGTGTTCTCTCGCATGCTTAAGTACCGATGCAGCAAAGGAGTAGTCATTATGTTGAAGCAAAGCGGAACTGATGAGCACGTCATAGGTGAAAGACTTCCTCTTCTCCTTTGGTAATTGCTGCTTATCGAAGAAATCCTGGCTGATCGCCTTCGCCGCTTCATACCTCTTCTTGTCTTTCAGAAGCTTCATGTCCAAGCTTCCGGGCTCAGTTTTGCAAAGACATTCAATAAATAGGGAAACAATGCCGTCATCAACCTGCCAAAGCTTAGAGGCTTCCGTACCGTTGGGGAGTTCGTTAATATACCTATGGTAAAGGTCCCCGACGAGTCTGGGAGCAAGGCTGCTCACCCCAAGATATTTCAAGACGACATCATATAAGATTTGGAGATGAGAGTGTTCGAGCACACATGATGTAAGGTCCTCGTGAATATCAGCCCTCTTGATGCTGGAGAAATCGAGGTTTTTGAAATCCTCCTTGTAGATCAATTGAAGTAAGCCGAGACGGTGCAACAAGTGAAGCGCATCATTGCCAAACATTGATGCAAAGTATCCGACAATTACTTCTGGGTGGCCAGCAAATTTTTTCGAGATAACGTTCACAATCTCATGTACTAACATAGCACGTTGATGACTTGAGAGCTCACAGTTGTGAAGGTTGTTTATCAACAAAAGTGCTTCGTCGAAACACTCGTCTTTTCTGAGCTGTATCAACACACGTAGCATGGTGGCTGGACGTATTTCCAATCCCACTTGAGGCATATACCTCAAGAATTTGAGGCACTCTTGGGGACCCTTGAACGTCATCGAGTGTTGAAGTAAAACATGCAAAAGCTTTTGAATCCTACCTTTGTGTCCCGTAGAATTCGATTTGAGAGACAGTGTTTCGAGCTTTGCAACAAGAAGATCAAGGTATAGGTTGGCATCGAGTAGGTCATTAGACTCGATGGCCTGGTTCGTGAAATATTGGAGGTCATTAAAGGTGAAAAAATTCAACATCTTTAGTTTATGCTGCTCATCAATGACAACGTCGTTAAGGTGATGCCATTTTGCATCGATTATTCCAGTCTTGGCGACCAAATTATTGAGGTTAGATCCATGCAAAAGACTCTGTTTGAACTGGTCAAACATAGCCATGTCCGAGAATTTCATGTTAATATGCAAAAAGTAGGAATAAAGCTCTGCTCGATTCGTCTCCGGTACGTGCTCCAATATAGACTTCGCAGTCTTGTCTTGCAACAAAAGCGATGTACAGTTTGAAGTTGAACTGAACGCTAACTTTCGTAGGTAGCTCAATAATAGTGTCAGTTTCTCAGATTTTGGCGTGGACTGCTCAAACAAAATATCCTCGATGTTGGCAAAGATCGCTTTTCTGGTTGTGGCCGCTTCAGGTGCCACTATGAATTGAAGAATAGAATCTCGCACCAGGTTAGCTTTGTAGTATTGCTTGAGACAGTCAACAATCACAGTTCGAATTCCCTCGTCTTCAATATTGCACAATAGCATCCTGGCCTTCGCAGGGTTCAGAATAAGATTATCGTGAACAAGCTGTATGACATTGAAGCAGAACTGGTCAGTCTCCGAGATGGATTTGTATGGAATGGACACCAAGTGACGGAAATCTTCCTCGTTCAACTTTTCAATCTCCTCTTTTTTCAACGAATATAACGGATTCGGGTATGTATCTGGTCCAATCTGAGAGTATGCCAGTTCGTCTTTCAACTTCGAGTAAACTTTGGTTTCAAATGTTGGGTTCGGAAGGGTTGCCGACTTTGTCGCATATGATGCATGGCGGTGTGGCCACCGTAGTAGGTGTCGTAGATACACGGGCCCTCGAAGTCTATTAATCATTTATGTGTTGCAGCTAATAGAAGATCCGAAATCGAGAGTATAACGAAAATTGTAGTGAAGTCACGTGATGTCAATTTGAATTTTATTTGAATAACCTTTAGACCTTTGTATGACCTCATTTCTCTATAAATATATTTCAGACGTCGTTCGAGCGTCTTTCTAGTTGATCCCAAGGCTCGAGACCCACCACTGCGCTGTACTCGTGAGAATTGCGGTAGATGTGCCTTTGGTAGAAGTATGCGAAGTCGAACACTATCGTGCCGGAGCTTCCTATGAGGTATGGAAGCTGATGCCAGAAATAGGTAGCTTTGTCGTCGGAAAGCAAAAATTCACAGCTTGTGAGCACAGAAATTGTGTATGCCAAGTTTCCGAAAAGAGCGGCTCCAAAAAGGAGAGGTGAGACGCCTTCAACCGACTTTCTTTTGTAGTTCTTGTAAAGCTGTGGACAACGGGAGCTCACGTAGACAGCGGTGCAGCTCCATGCAAGAATAAGAGCAAGAACATCATGACTCCCGGCTTCCTCTGCGACCGAGATGACTGATTCCATCGCACGGCTCACAGGGAATGCATTGGACAAGCCGGAATTGAGAATGGATCCAATAGTAACCACTTTAGCAACGTTGGGCTTCTTATTGATCGAGTTGTAGCTTCCAGGGATGGAGCCATCTGAAGGAGGTGTGAGACTCAGCCATTCATCGGCCTCCTCAGGTTCAGGAATATGTGATCTAATGTGAATAGTTCCAGAGCCAGCATGAACATCTGCATCCGTTACCAGCAGTTCAGCGACTTCGACGTCCAGGGACTTTACTGGTGCGTTCGCTTTGGGGTATATGTTGTTGTAATAGTAAAACTGGTAGCACAACGCAATATCGTTGCATATGAAAAACAAACTTAGGTAAACTTGGAAAGCTAGGGTCGACTCATTTAGAAGACAGCTTGTAAAACTGAGGAAATCGCCCATGAACCATAGTATAAGAAACAGTGGCGATATTCCTTCTGCCGACTTGTTCACATAGTTTGTGTATATCTGCGGGAGCTGAGCTCCCATCCAGCTAATGAGGGAGAAAGTGCTGAAGAAATGCGAAAGCGCTGAAGCTGTGGAACACTCTATCATGCCTGTGTGGTGGAAGGAAGGTTAGGCTATCTAGTTGAATGAAGAGTGTGGTAGTGGATAGGGATGTATGTCGAGATAAGACAATGCAAAGATGAATCACCGCGGTTAAGAGTCACCTACCGTATTAGGAAGCGAGCTATGTGCACGTCATCCGTCACTTTTGAGCGCGGGGTCGAAGGCCTTGTGCCCGGACGGCTATGTTACAATTTGCAACCAGTGTGACCTGGAGGGTTTGTTTTTGTTTTGTGATACACCTACCTAAAGTTTATATAAGGCATCAAGGAATGTCTCGATCAAGCGATCAGCAACACCCGCGGTAGAGACGTTGCCTGCCACACCATACATGGCTGCAGTGTCACCAGGAGGAGCCTTGGTGTCAGAGTTTGCAACTTCCTTAATAGTGGCAACGAGGTCGCTGATCAACTCGTCGGTCACGGGTACAGTAAGACGCGTAAAAGCAAAATGCAAAGCTGCAGGGTTTTGCAATGTTGCAAAGTGCCATCCTTTCTTGCCCATGAGATCGCCTATGGAGTAGATATCAACCTTGTTAGGGTTCTTGGCCTTGAACGCAATAACAGAGGCAATTGGGTCACCAAGAAGCTCTAGATGCTCGTAGAGGGTCTCGTTTTCAACCAAAGCGTTTCTAAGTTTGATGCCAGCACCGACAATGTCCTTGCACGACTCAGCATATCCGGTCTCTCCGATATGCACCATTGTAGCCCAACAGCCTGCCATCAAAGCACCTGGTCTCGAGCCAGCAAGAGTAGGCGAGCCGTACAAACCACCAGTCCAATCACTTGCGACGTAGTACTGATGCTTTCGAAGCTCAGGGTTTCTGTACATGATAACGGAAGATCCCTTTGGTGCAAAGCCATATTTGTGGGTATCGCAAGAGATGGAAGTGACACCAGGTAACCTAAAGTCAAACAAAGGAAGCTTCTTGTCGCCGTGAACACCTGACTTCTCCAAGAAAGTGACAATGAAGGAGCCCAAGCACGCATCGACATGGAGAGGGATGTTGTACTTGACAGCCAAGTCCGACAAAGCCTCGATATCATCAATGATTCCGTGAGGATAGTTTGGTGCAGATCCAACGAGCAAAACAGTGTTGCGGTTGATCAATCTCTTCACTTTGTTGATGTCGACCTGGTAAGTGACAGGGTCGAGGTCCACCTTGTGAAGCTTCATACCAAAGTAATAACAGGCCTTATCGATACCAGCATGAACAGTAACGGGAGCGATGACTTCTGGAGCAGTGATGCCCTTCTTCCTGCGTCCGATTTCACGGGCCGCCAAACCTGTAAGCAAAAGAGACTCGGTACCACCGGAAGCAGAACATCCACAGCCAGTTTCGGGGGCATTGAACAACTTCAAGATCATCGATACCACTTCAGCCTCCATCTTACGAATACCAGGGAAGATATCCGGGTGAAGCTGGTTTGCAACACTGTAGATTTCGTAAGCCTTGGATTGCAACTTGAGCAACTCATCGCCACCGTGATACACACCTCCGGTGTACTTACCATCGTGCCAATCATCCACTGTGAGGGTCTTTTCAGTAAGCGACACCTCTTGCACGACAACATCTTGATGCAAGCCTGCGGTCGGCAATACCGGGAACTGAAGCAAGGAATCGTCGTTCTTCATGATCATCTCCTCCATTTTGACCTGCGTTGCACTCAATTCCTTGTCAACTTTGGACTTGATGGGAGGAAGCGACATGACGATACCAAAGAACCACTTGGAGATGGCACGATAGACCTTCTTGAGGCATCCAATGGGACCATAGCCATACAAGTTGAGCACAAGCTTGTGCAAAACAGTGTATACCCAGTATACAACGAGAACGTCTCTGATCAAAGCCAAGTATCCCCAAGGAGCGCTAATATCCGAGAAGTAGTGCTCCAAGAACCTGGACTTAGCGGTAATGGCAAATCGTCTGGCATGGATGTCAGTAACAAAAATTAACTCTCGGTAATCTTTGGGCACATAAGGCTGGCCGAACATTTTTGCTTTGAGATACGCCTGTTCGGTAGCCACCATGTCTTTTATATTATATTTTCAATTATAGACCGGAGTAGTTGCGGAGAGATGATAGGTATATCCTTGCGATAGTCACCGCACCGAGGCATGGTGCAGGGCATAGTTACATAACCAAGAACAATGATTAGGGGCAGACGAACATTAATGACCTGCAAACAATGTGAGTATATTCGAAAAGTCCGGGGCTGGCCCGGTGATAAACAGTGGGGTTTACAGACATGCCAGTTTTGTGTCACATTGACAAAGCTCTTGGCGCTCTTTTATTTTGCAACCTTCTATTCAACCACAATGAATTGTCCTTTCGAGTATCTGTTAGGTGAAGGGCGTCAGGCCCCGACTCATTCGATTTGTGGGGCGACTACTCAGCCCGGCGGCTGTGCTGTCGACCACCGTGCTCCGCTCCTTGACCATTTTGTCCAAATAAGACAGGAATAGCAGTTTGAGAAACGCGTTTTCCTTATGCAAGCGATTGTATTTGGTATCGTAGCTGATTTGCTCGTATTGCCTTCTCAAGGATGGGAGAATGTGCATGCCAGGACCATTCAAAGTTCCGTTGAGTGTATCTTTCTTCGCTTGTGCGGTGCTGAGACTCACGCTGGCATTGACAGCCTCGCTTGATTTGGTCTGGTACTTACCACGAAGAGACTCACCTTCTTCAGCCGCCTGCTCTAACTCTTTGTCTAGCCTTTCTTTTTCTTCTCCCAATTGCAGAATTATCTTGGCCTGCTCCTCAACAAGCTTCTTGATGTCTTCGTCACTCTTTTCCCGTAGCACATCTTCAAGGTGCTTGAGCATCTCCTTTGTTTCCGTATGCGTAGCTTCTGTTTTCGAATGCTCGGCTTCTGCTCGGTTATACTTTCTATCCACGGTACTCGCTTCCTCGTTGAGTTTCCGTAATTTCCGATACCTCTCTCCCATTTGGTCCTCGCAAGCGTCAATATCGGTTTGTCTTTCAGTCTCCGCCTTTCTGTATTCGGGGAGCACTTCGTGTAGACCGCGACGAACGGTGGTTTCCACAAGCTCAGTTCTGTAGTTGAGAGCCTCGGCGAACTTCTTCTTGAAGGTGTCGAAATCTGTAATAACCTCCTCCACACTCTCGGTGCTAGGGTTCTCAAACTTGAACTTATGCTTTTCTAAGCTGAATGCCGCTTTGAGGTGGTCGGTGAAATTCACCAGGAGTCGTTTGAGAAGCTTCTCTTCAGAAGGATGAAGCAGAAGAGAGGCCTTGCTATTTTCAAGGAGACTTGCGGACGCAGGTGGAGGAACCTCCCACCACCTCATGAGCCAGCCTCTAAGATCCACGTAGTTGTCACCAAAGTGTTCCACGTAAAAGTCGCTGTCATCGCGTTCATACAACCGATGTCTGTTGGCCACGAAGGCGCTGATCACCTTGAGTTTCCAGTTGATTTGTGGATCCGGTCCACTAGTCAAATCCAACTCGAACTCAGGACGAGGCAATACCAACGAGAAGTGCTCCACGGAGTATATTGGGATTGGGATGATAATCGGGGTCTTGTATTGCCTTGCCTGCAAAGACACTGACAGAGCTTGATTGTTTCCCCTTATGAGTTGCATGCTGGCGCTTTGGAGATCTGGATGCGAATCAAAAGAGAAGATGAGGTCGAACTGGACGCTCGATGCGTAACTCTCGTACATGTGTCTGGAGGTGGCCAAATGTAAAACGACGCCCGGTCTCCGATTCTTTTCAGCAACCAACTTGCGCCGCCTGGAGTAGTATTTCCTCTTGTTTCTGTTGTCTGCTGCAAACAATTCATCCTCGGTAAACTCTTCTCCAGTATCTCTTGATGCTTCGTCCATATCGTATAATTTCCTCGTATTAAGATTTTTGTAGTTGATCTTCTTTCCGATGATAGTGCCCTCAATCCACTCAAGCTCCTTGACTGTTTCCGCCATGACGAGCACGTTATAATCATTCTTTGGCTTGTCGTCTTCGCCATAGCTATCACAGAGTAGTTCAATGATTCTATCGAAAAGGGCCAGTTTACCGGAAAGGTTTAAAAGGCGCTCGTTGACTTCCAGTAGAAGCCAGCGTTTGGGAATAAAATGGTCCACTAGTAGCGAGGGGTGCATGGACACCTTACGTAGCTGCTCGAACATAAGGTTGATAAGTCTAGCCCTAGACTCACGAACATCACCGGCACCCATACTTCCAGGCAACTCATCATCACCATTTGAAAGGTTACTTATGGAAGCTCTGTTCTTGCTTCGCTGGAGCTCCTGCTCGAATCCTTTGCGAAAGATCTGAACGATAAGTTCACACACATCCTTCTGCAAATTCGACATCATCGATGGTAGATAAATAACATTGTCGGCACTTGGTCCTGATAACCCTGAAACTTGCTGTTCTGGTTGATTTTGGTACGTTTCGCTGTGCTCGGGTCTAAATTCAGAGCCGACGTTATCGAGATAATGCTGCATATCCACCAGCCCAGTTCCGGTGTCGGCTGGATTGTCGTCTGAAAGGAGATCTAGTAAATTCATCCCTCAATAAAGTATGTTTGGTATTAGTGTAGTATTAGAATGAGTGGTGAATACGGCTCGATAGTACTTTATACCTTTTTGCAGCAGGAAAAAGACCCTAGGCAGATTGTTTGCGACAGAGGTATGCGGGAGATTTTAGCTGCAGGTTATACTCTAGGAACATCGCGATCGGTTTTTGGCCCAGGTCCGAAAGAGGAAGCGAGAAAGCTCTAATGGAAATGATCTATATTATCTATTAGCGCCGCTTTTTGCGGATAACAACTTTTAGGCCCATATTGCCTAAACTACTCCACACCTGCTCCTCCACCTTCTTTGGGAGCTTTCTTCCGTAGAGACACTGATCCACTAGCCACATGCCCATAAGGAACTCGATTTTATTAAGGGTGCCGTCTTTACGGAAATCAACTAGATTCCAGATGGCCTCGAGCGTTTCCAGAGGGAGCCTGCTCCTCTTCCAGATACGCTTTACGACAATTCCGTGTATGAGTTCGTGTGGGTCGGCCAGTTTAAGCCCGTGCCGCTCTTGGATATGGTCCTCCATGGTTTCATGATTACAAGGTTCAGCTGCCGACGAGAGCTTGGCTGCAAGTTCCAGCGGATCTTGCTTCAGAAGTGCTTGCTTTCTTGCATTCTCCTCTTCTGTGTAGTTCTTGTTGTAGTCCACACCTGCAAGTCGAGTAACGACCTTGTTGACCAAGTAGCCCTTATTACTTACCCACACACCTTCGTAGCGTTTTCTCTCTGTATCTGAGACCTCATTAAGTTTGCTGTGGTTTTTCCAGGGCTTGTTCTCATCAAACGTCTTGTCTTTCTTCTTCATCTTTCTCATGGTCGTCTTCAAGGCAACATGTGGGTTCGCAACCACAGGCGAGATGCCGGCCGTAGGCTTTGTCTCAGGCTCAGGTTCATCGTCTATTTCAACCTCGTTCAGCAGATCCATGGACTGACGCTCACGCACAGTCTGAGCCGCTTCTCCCTTTCTCCGACCGAAAATTCGGCGGTGTTTCTTCTTATCCTTGATATCGGGGAATTGCGGGAACTTCTGGTCATCTTCTGCCCCACTCAGAGGATTGCTCGTGGACTGGTCGAAAGATTGACGGCCAGAGCTCCCCTCACTTTCTATTAGTTCAGGTGGTGGCTTACGCCTCACCTTTTTGAGGGCCTCGTCAAGCTTCAAGTCGGAAACATTACCAGGCAGGCTTGGTGATAACAGGGCAGCAATTTCTGGAGCCACTGTTCCGTTACCGGCGTTGCCTCGAGCAACGGCATTAGGGGATGGTGGTACAGGGATGGGCTGGCTGGACTTTTCAGGGGCAGATGGCGGCTTTCTGAGGGTGTCATTGTCTTGATCATCTTCGTCAGCATCGATTATAGCAATGGAGGGCGTTATTGGTGTCTCATTTTCACTGCCTGACGCGTACGAGTCCATGGACAATCCGGAAGTGTTGAGCTCCTTAAGATCTTTGATATTGAACACCTTGTGCTCCAACGACGGCAGCGATCCTTCTGAGTCGCTTGTAGGGACCACTCCAGGAGACAAGTTTTCACTTGAGTCATGAAGCACAACTGCATTGACGTTGGGTTCTTGCGGTATCTGTGAGGAATGCCTCTTCAGCTCCACGCTCTGTCTGAACTCATTGAGGGCTAGTTGGTTGCGTTTGGTCGCATCTTTGGATGATCCAGCCTTGGCCTTGGAATTGATGGACTGTTTCACGTTCTCAACCATGTCCTTTGGGTCTAGAATGACGCTAACACGCAGACGCAGGGCACCTGGGCCATTGGCGGTATCTGTCTGATAAAACTTGGGAATGCAGAAGTAGTCATGATGAGCTGAGCTCAAAGAAACATTGTCATCATCTATGGAGGTTCGTGGCAATGGTGTTTGTGAAAGCTTCTCTGACGATGACACCGCCGCTGCCGCTGCTGGGGTTCTCACCAAAGGTGTATTATAGACTGACCCAGAGCCTACACTGGACTTCTGGTTCTTTGCAGAGTGTTCAGCGGCTGCGGTGGCCAAAGATGCTTGTGAAACGTTCTTGTAATTGCTCAAATCTATCTGGAGGTTTGGTTTTTTTGATGGTTGCTTAGGCTGGAGCTGAGCTTGTGAGGACTTGGTAGCAGCTGCTTTGGATAAATTGGGTGCCTCAGTGGGCTTTTTCTTTGCAGGAGGGTGGGTTGTCTCAGGTGAAACCTCCTTCAGTCGCTGTTTGGGAGAATTCGAAGGGGTGGGCTTCTTTAACTCTGGTTTGGTGATTTTGGTCAATGGCGGTTGCGTCTTTTGATTATTTGCTCGGAACGCAGCCGAAGCGGCTAGCTGTGCCGAGCTCATTCTCTAAGGGATATTCTGGGATTGATGTTTGACCTCAAAGAAGCATGTAGCTGAAAGAAGTAGGATTATGTCAAAAACAGGAAGATATGCTGTTTGGGTAAAAATAGTGTTACGAGTGCCTGGGGTCGCTTGTACGCACACTGAAGGCTATGTTTAGCTGGTTCCGCCCTATTTCGCGCTAGTCAGGCACCCTTCAATGTGTCATCTACTCCGTTCGGTTTTATCGGTCTATAGGATATTGATAAATAGTACCTAAGCTATGGTTCTAGCGAATTGTCTCAAATTAACTGACATCAATAACAACCCCTCCTTCAAGCCGTTTTGCGACTTTGTGGCCCGCTGACGCATAAGCTCGCGCATGCATGTTAAACGTTTTGCAGCCATCTCATTCCTTACTTCCGTCTTCCCTTGTTAGCATTAGCGTTTCTGCCTCTTCCGACCCTAACACCGGAAGATTTGTATGTGGTACCAAAGGGTGAAATGAAGTTATCGGCACTGCCTCCTCCGATCCACTCTTGGAGCATCTTCTCACTCTTCTTCCTCAGCCAGGCATCGTCCTTCAATGCCTTGGCATATTCTTTTTGGTCCTCTCGAAGAATGATAGGATCCTGGGAGCTAGGCCTGAGCTCCTTGTTATGCTGGTATCCTCTGTTACCTTGACTCTTCTGTTGGTTTTTACTGAGTGGAGATGGCATCGAGTACACTTGACCTCTTACAATCCACTGGAAGTTCTTCTTCAAGTGTGGTGTGATCTTGCCGGTTTCGTTATCGACAGAAACAGCACACCTGAGAAGAGTGTTGCCGCCACACTTGGGACAGAAATGTTTTGGCTGGCCTGATTTGGACATCGGAGTCATCGTAAAACATGCATGGCATCTGTACATGTAGTTTCTGACACGCTTGATCTGTTTACCCGAGGAAGGGTTCATGAGCTTGAGGCCAAGCTGCAAGCTGGTGTTTTGACATGCAAAATCTCCTGTAGAAAGGGCGACCGGGATGAAGGTGCTCTCAGAACTCTTGTCGTCCTGAACAGTCTCGTTATTGTCTTTGAAGATTTCTTCCTGGAGGTTTTCCGGGGTAATCCAGTCTCCATCGTCGTCGTCTTCATTATATTCCTCACTTAACTGCTCTCCTTGGGCTTCGGTCGTCTCTGATGAAACAGCGTCAGCTTCTGTGTTCTGCTGATCGGAGTTGATCTCGACCTTGTTTTCTGGCTCCGGTTGCTGAGCCTTTACCTCCTCCTCTGGTTTCGATTCTTGCTTTTGTGGCCAGTTCTTTCTTGGTTTTCTGCTCTTCTTCTTGGTGACAACTTGGAATCCGTCGTCGTCCTCCTGTGGCTGCTCCTCTTCCACGACTTCAGCTCTAGGCTTATATTCTCTCTTCTCTCTTGGTTTTTCCTCAGTCTCGCCTTCTAGCTTCTGGCCTGGGAATCTCCTTAACTTATCGGCCCCAGCCTTTTCGATCTCTATTTCGTATGCCAATGCAATGATGTGAATATCGTTCATCGACAAGACGGAGTAGTCACCCGTCAACTTAGCAAAACTGCTGATTCTGTCGATGGACAGCTGCTTGGGCTGACGAACAACGAGACGGTCTGCCCATAGAAGGAGTTGGTTTCTAGAATGCTCGTCCTTCAACTCAGCTTTCACACCTGGAGTAGTGTAAAAGTTGTTAGCGAATTGCTGCAAGGTCGAGGCCGGTTGTGTGATGAGTGGGGTTGCGTCAAGCACCCAGGAATCAACCGATTTGCTTGTCATTATGGAGGTTTATGGGAGGATGTGTAACTGAGATGAGATGCGATGCCTTGATGTACATAGAAATTTTCGCACTGACTACCTACCAGTGGGGTAGAGTTGATGAACACGAAATTTTAGGATGCAATGGGTCGGATGAAACTAATATAATTATCTGTTGTATCGAAAATAGGTCGGAAGGGGAGGATTCTTCTTTTCATTTACATCTCCCCGTCATCCCGTAAGAAGGGTTTATCCGTTGAGAATCACCATGGACACACACGCGGTCCTTTGATGACCAAGAAGTCATTGAATTATTACTTTTCGTTTCTCGTCACTAGTTCAACTTAGAATGCTCTTCAAAAAATATATATGCTCATTTTCGTATATTTGTAGAGGCAGAGGTAGTTCGTGAGATCTGCGCTTCAGGTACAGAATGGTTGCAAAATGAGAATTCACACCGGGCATCTGAAGAAGCCCAAAATTGCAAATGCCTTCCTTTTTCACCACTCATTGGTTGAACCATCCCATTACATCTTCTTTTTAATCGAAATAGCCTTAATTGCTCTTCTAAGCGAACTCACATTATCATTATAACATTCCGTCAATTTTCCGTATCTATTGGGGTACTGAGAAAAACGTCACCATTGATACTCTCTAACCGACAATTGAGTGCATACGACTCAAGAATAGGGAGGTGGTATACATTGCTTAGGGCCAAGGGCTATCAACCATTGCTTCAATCAATTGCGAATAACGATACCTTATCTCGAGAGACACCATTTTCTACAAGCCACCAGGAGTAAGCGGTCTAATTCTTGCACATAAAGTTAATTCTCTTCAATTTTCGTGTGGAGTCTAAACGGTCGGGTGTCACATGTTCTTGCTCCTTACGCACGGCGGCTAATCAGGACGTTGTTCCCGAGCTTACAAATACCCCACGGATCCTCTTCCTACTAACTGCAAACGAAAATGGCTGGTGACAAATTTGTTCTTCACTAGTATGTTGAATCTTCTCAATTGCCTTGAACTTTACTAACATAAGTCTTACGGAATCCAGAGCACTGAGAATTGTGTGGCTCTTGGAGGAGTTGGAACTCGACTTTCTGTTGAAGGTGTACAACAGAGTCGGTGGTGTCCTTGCACCCAAGGAATTGTTGGATGTCTTTCCAACAGGCATGTCTCCCGTCTTGCAAATCTTCAAGGAAGGTGAAACCGAACCACTCACGTTGGCTGAGTCGGGCCACATTATTCAGTATGTGATTCGCCACTACGACCCTCAGGGCAAATTGACCCCATCTTCTGATGCAGAAAAGGAGAAGGTGGACTACTTCTTGCACTTTGCCGAGGGCAGTTTACAGCCACACCTTGTTTCCTTGTTGGTGGGTGATGTTGCTTCCCTGAGAGCACCATGGCCTGCTAACTACCTTGTCAGAGGCATTGTCGGCAAAATCAACTCCGAGTATTATGTAAAGAGACTCAAGACCAATCTCCAGTTTTTGGATGACATCTTGGCTAAGAAGGGCGGTGGGTTCTTCGTGGGCGACAAATTGACTGGCGCTGACATCATCCTTGAGTTTCCCGTGGGTCAAAACATCTTCTCCAACGAACAAAGAGCACGTAACCTTGGCTTGGACGTCCCTCCAAGCGAAGCATGGCCACACTTGTACGAATGGAGCAAGCTTGTCGCTGGTCAGCCTCTCAGGAAGAAGGCAGTGGCCACTGAGAAGGCCAATTTGTGATTGTAGTTGCTAAATTCGGTTCATGAAATAAAAAAATAAAACATCTGATTACCTTTTATTGTAGATGGCCTTATCGATCTGGGGCATCGAAAGCTGCACCCGTACACCACATCTAGCGATGCCTGAGATGCGCATAATGCTTTCACTGAAAAGTACCAAGCTTCAGATCCGATGCCTAAACCAAGAGGAAGAAGAGAGAAAAAGACGGCAGCCAAGGAGCGTGTCGCAGGAGCTGAAGATGTGGAGAATGATTTCCAGGAAGCCATCGAAAATGGTGAGGAGGAGCCCATCTCCTCTGAGACCAAACAACCTACAGAGTTCTCCACCGTCTTTTTTGGTCTAGTTGACTCCAGTGAAGTCGACTACTTCAAGCAAGCCGAATCCACACTTAACATCAATGCTTTCGAGAGCGACGAAGAGCGTGCTGGTTTCATCAGATCGGTGCTTGAGGAGTCCAGAGGAAAAGAGCTCAAGCTCGTCACAAACCAAATCTGCTCCAAATTGATGGAACGTCTCGTACTTTTTGCAACTGACCGCCAGCTCAAGCACATCTTCCATCAGTTTATTTCCCACTTTCCTGCCTTGGCTCATCACAAATATTCCTCGCATGTGTTGGAAACGCTTTTGGTGAGAAGCGCTGCTTTGATTGAGAAGGAGCTTGCCCACAACTACGAAGAGGAGGAGCTCGAAGCTGAACTTGATGACGATAATGAACAAGACAAGTTCATTGCTTCCACTACTATGGAGTCCATGTTCATTAAGATGCTCGAGCTGTTGCACCCATATTGGAGCACCATGATTGAGCACCAGTACGCATCCCATGTTTTGAGAATCATCGTGCTTATTCTTTCAGGTAAAGAGTTGCCTTCCACCACAATGGCCAACTCGGCCTTAAGATCGAAGAAGTCGAAGATCGCCAGAAAAATGATCGAGATTAAGGACAATAATGATTTTAATCGTGCATTCGAGGTCCCTGCTTCATTCAAGGACGAGCTCAGAAGACTCATCAAAGCATCCACAGCCGGATGGGACTCCAAGAAGGCTAGAGTAATGGCCATTCACAAAATCGCTTCCCCAGTGCTTCAGCTTGTCATCAGAGTCGAGGGTATTGTCGACAGGGACCGTTCTCTCTGGCATTTGATTTTCTTGGGAGAGAAAGAGCCTAAAGATTCGAAGGAGGAAGGCTTTGTTGAATACCTTTTGTCCGACCCAGTCGGCTCTCATTTCCTCGAATCTGTCATCAAAAATGATGGTGCAAGAATGAAGTACATTGAGAGACTCTATCGTCTATACATGAAGGATAGAGTGTTGAAGTTGGCCAGAAGAGCTACCACTGGTGTTTACATTATTCAAGCATTGCTTCTCAAGCTCAAACCAGGTGAGGTTGAACACATCTTGGATGCCATCGTTCCAGAGCTTGCCAGCCTAATATCTATCTCCGAGAACCAGAACATCGACCTTGCCAAATCTATCATTGATGCTTCCATTTCCAGATACAACTATAGAAGAGACGAGCTTATCAAGC